GGCAATTTAGCATGGCCAATCCACCTAGCCTGCACTTTAGACTGGGAGGAAACCAGAGCACCCAGAGGAAACCCACGCAGACGTGGAGAATGTGCAGACTCGCCCAAGGGTGGAATTGAACCCGGGTCCCTGGTGTTGTGAGGCAGCACGGTAGCACAGTTGTTCGCAGTGCTGCCTGGAATACTCCCAGAAGGACTATTTCTAGAAAGAGTGGTAATAAGTGGAACTCATGGTGAAAAGAACGGTGTTCCATTATATAATATGAGGTTGGAGAGTCTGGTGAGAAGTGGAGAAGTAGTGGTAGGAGTAATAGAGAAATTCTCACTTCTGGAAGTACAGGTTATCCTTGGTAATGATATAGCTGGATCACAGGTTGGAACGATGCCTACTGTGGTTGAAAATCCAGAAATTGATGTGTTATGAAAAGTTTTATGAGAGGAGTGTAAAGAGGCTTTTCCTAGAGTTGAAGTTTCAATTACAAGGGGGCACAGGTTCAAGGTCAGAGGGAGAAAGTTAAGTGAGGTGTGTGAGGGAAGTTTTTCACGCAGAGAATGGTAGGAGCTGGAACACACTGCCAGAAGAGGTGGTGGAAGCAGGCACGTTGGCGACATTTAAGAGGCATCTGAATGGTTACATGAATACGAAAGAAATAGAGGGATACAGACTGAATAAGGGCAGAAGGATTGTTTTTTAAGTTTAGTTAGGGCATGATGATTGGCTGAGGCTTGGAGGGTCAAAGGGCCTGTTCCTGTGCTGCACTTCTCTTTTGCTCTTTTTTTGTTACAGGAAGTATATCCTGGGATTTTCCGGGACTGCATGGTAACAAGGTCACAAAGCCACAGGTTGAAGCAGGAGGGGAATTCAAAGAGTAAAGATAAGGAGATTGAAGTTCAGTTATCAGAGACTATGTTGATCAAATGGTTGGAGAAAAACAAGATTGGGTGGAGGACAAAATAGATATATTTAATTCAGAGAAGCTAACTGAATTACAAAGAATGATGAAAAACTGAAGCAGTTGAATTGAACAGCATACACAGGATAAGAATCTGAGTGCAACCCAGAGCATTAAAAATGAAGTCTTGATAAGGAAATGGAAACTATCATGTATTTAAGCAGAAGAAAAATGGGCAGAAGTTCATCAAGTTATATCACCAGTGAGTTATAAAAAGGAGATATTTGAGGATAACACATGACTTACCAATAGGTCGTCATTTAGGATTAAGGAAAACTCGAGCCAAAATACAAAAAATTTTTTTTGGCCTGGACTGCATAGAGATATGGTTGAACTTTGCCGGACATGTCATACATGTCAGGTAATTGGAAAACCTCAGGCAGTGATAAAACCAGCATCCTGAGGACCTATTCCCACATTTGAAGAAGCTTTTACAGGAGTCTTAATTACGTAGGACCCCTGCTTAAAACAAACAGTGGAGATGCCAGGGGTGGACAAGGTCAGAAGTCACACAACATCGGTTAGAGTCCAACAGGTTTATTTTAAATCACATGCTTTTGAAGCGCTGCTCTTTCATCACTTCACCTGACAAAGGAGCAGCACTCTGAAAGCTTATGATTTCAAATAAAACCTGTTGGACACTAACGTGGTGTTGTGTGACTTCTGACCTTTGAAAGAAAAAGTGGAAATCAGTATTTGTTGAGTGTAATGGATGTGTCAGCTAGATTTCCAGACGCCATACCATTACGCAGTATCACAGCTAAAAAGGATTATGGAAGAGTTACTCAACTTTTTTTTCTAGATGCTAGTAATTGGACTACCCACAAAAATACAATTGAATCAGGGATCAAATCTGACAAAGCAATTCAAGGAAGTTGCTGTGTACCATTCAGAAATCCACTGTGTACCATTCAGAATCAGAAGGAGCCGTAGAACTGTGGTGTCAAACTTTAAAGATTATGTTGAAGGCGTATAGTCAAGACCATCAGAGGACTGGGATAAATGAATTCCATTTGTATTTTTTTGCAATTAGGGATGCACCAAATACATCAACTAAATTCAGTCAATTTGAATTAGTTTTTTTGACATGAGGTCAGAAGACCACTGAAATTAATTAAGGAGAACTTGGTGCGTCAGAGTTGAGAGACCACATATTTGGACTATGTGTCAAATTTTAGGGAAAAATTAAATAGAGTGGGTGAGTTGGCTATGCAATATTTGAAGGTAGCACAGCATGTAATGCAACAGGAGGCAGATAAGAAATCAAAAATTCACAATTTTGCTTGTGGAGATAAAATATTAGTGTTACTTCCAGAGATAGTTGAACCTTTAAAGGCAAGGCTTAATGGGTCATTTCAAATTTAAAGTAAATTGAGTGGTGAACTATTTAATAAGAACACCAGACAGAGAGAAATCTGTGTCATGTGAATAAGCTCAAAAGGTATTTTGATAGGAAAGTGAAAGGAGTGTGTGTCACTAGTTACAACACCGTGAAAAACCAAGTTCAGATAATTCAGAATTGGACATACCTCAAATTAAATTGTCCAATGAGGAAGTCCTCAAAAAATGGGATAAATGGAGTTACATTCCAGAGGAAATTCTGTGACCTGAAAGAGTTATTGCAATCGTGTGGGGAGATATGTGGAAATAAGCTAGGAAGTACTAATCTGATTATGCATGATGTAGATATAGGAAATGCTGTTCCAATTAAGCAACATCCTTCTAGACTTAACTCTCAAATTGGCACAGGTTCAAAAAGAGATTGAAAGCACACTCTGAGATGACTTAATTGAACTGAGTTGCAGTGAATGGAGATCACACATAGCAATGTTCTCAAAACCAGATAGCCCACACATAATTGTTGGATACCATCACAAAGTCAGTGCAGTTATGAAATCTGATTCATATCCTTTTCCACATGTGGACAACCTTATTGAGAAGGTGGCACAAGCAACTTGTATTTCTGAGTTGAACTTACTCAGAGGATCATGGCAGGTACCTTTGTCTGAAACAGCAAAATAAATTTCTACCTTTTGACGCCAAATTGACTATACCATTTTAAAGTCGTGCCAAAATACACCAGTCACATTTCAAAGACTAATCAATAAGGTCACTTTGGGATTGCCAAATTGTGTGGTGTACATTGGTGATTTTTAGTCAAACTTGGAAGGAACGTTTGGAGCATCTAGTCAAATTATTCAGTTGACTTCACGAGGCAGGCTTTGTGATAAACCTGGCTAAGAGTGAGATCGCAAAAGCCCAGTCGTGTTCTTGGGCCATGTTATTAGACATGGACAAATGGTCCCACGGGATGTGGGACCAAGGTTTTTGGGGAGTTTCCTATACCAATAAGAGGGAAGCACCATGATTCCTGGGACGGAGTTGATTTTTATCAAAAATTCGTACCAAATTTTAGCAGTGGGGTTGCTGCACCGACTGACCTGTTGAAGTGCAGAAAATTTCAGCGGACAGAAGTGTGTCAGAAGGCATTTGACAACCTAAAAGCTGTGATGACAACTGTTCCAGGGATAGCCACGGCCATCTATGCATAGCCATTCAAATGCAGCAGCATGATGTCTCAGTGGTTAGCATTGCTGCCTCACAGTGACAGGGACCTGTGTTCAATTCCACTTTTGGGCAACTGTGTGTGGAGTTTTCACGTTCTTCCCATGTCTGTGTGGGTTTCCTCTGGGTGCTCCAGTTTCTTCCCACATTCCAACGGTGCGCAGCTACTCTAATCCCATTTTCCAGCATATGGCCCATAACTTTGTATGCCTTGATGCAAGTCAGAATCGTAGAGATCTAGAATCGTAGAATCCCTTCAGTGTGGAAACAGGCTATTTGGCCTGACAAGTCCACGCCGCCCCTCCGAAGAGCATCCCACCCAGACCCATTCCCCTGATTTCCCATGTCTAACACACTGAACCTAAACATCCCTGGGCACTATGGGCAATTTAGCACAGAGAAAGGCCCCTCAGCCCATCACATCCACATCGGTCAAAAATAACCACCTACCTCTTCCAGATCCTCTCCTGTTCCTCAGTACACCTCAGCTGTTATGAGGAACAGTCACTGGACCCGAAACGTTAGCTCTGATTTGTCTTTACGGATGCTGCCAGACCTGCTGAGCTTTTCCAGCAATTTCTGCTTTTGCTTGTAATGTACAATTTGCCTGCTTAATTGCTTGCTATATTTGTACAACATTATACGTGTACAACATCCTTCCTAGCAAAATTTTTCCAGATTATATTCAGCCTGCTACCACTTGCTCAATCACTTAACCTATTTATATCCCTTTTGTTGCCTCTTTGCAGTTTCCTCAACTTATTTTCCAGCCTTTGTTTAAACCTGGATTTACTCACTTGCTTCCCTAGCCTAAGTCATTGGTTAATGTTTTGCAGTTGCAATCCAAGTACTCGTCCTTCTGGCACCCTACATGTTTACAACTTGACATGCCGAAAGTGATCCATTTATTCTTATTCTGTTTGCTGTTCATTAACTAACCTTCACACCATGCTAAACGTTGCACCCAATCCCATTGCATTTAATAACCTCTCATCATCTTATCGAATGCCTTCTGAAATTCAGATTATTGACCTGAATCCTGAACAATATGGTACATGGTAAATTGCTTTGCGTCAGTGCAAAACTGGCAATAAAGTTAGGACTGGATTTGTTGCATTCTTTTACCTTCAGTGTATTATGAATACGGTTTGCCTAAAAACTGAAACAAAATGGCTGAGGTGCAATTGCTGGTTTTCAATTCTGTGTTTTTAGCGGATTCCTGTAATGCACCAATGCATTCCCTATTTTAACAATTTTTTTCCTGTGTTTTAGTCACTGATCTTTAACTTATTTCATTTAACAGCAATGGATGTGAGTAAACAGGGAAAGTTTGCTGTACTGGGGTTGCTGGGAGAGAATTGAAATGTCGGTGCAGTTTTCAAAAAATGTCGTCTTGTAATTTCTTAATTGTAGTACTTGTGGTTCTAAGTGAAAAGAACATGCCATCATTTACAGTCAAATTAGTAATTCTGTGGATTAACTGTTTTTAGACTTACAAAGCTTTCCTGCCTGCTATGATAGCCAGCAACCATGGCCATCTGGTTAGCATTGCCAGCACGGCAGGACTGTTTCCAGTCAATGGATTGGCGGGTAAGAATACCTTGTGTGGTTTCTAGAAACTTCCTGCATTCAACATTTAGATGAAGTATGGTGTACAATGATTCAGGATGTACTAAGCTATAAATTGCTGTTGTTTTCTACTGATCAGTTTGATGTTAAGGTTTTCAAAAATATGCACAAAAAGCTGTTGACTGTGTGGAATTTATACACTCATTATATACTATGTACACATAAGGTTGCTGTCAGAAGTAAGGAATTAGCATTCATTGTTTACCTCACGGATAATTGCCCGTAGATTTTTAGGGTCATTGGTGGAGATTTTCTCCCAGCTGGTATCTAACAATTCTAATTGCCCTACAAAAAACTGCTCTATGTTAACAAGAATGAGAAACATTTTTAAATCCAAAAACATGCACTGTGTACAGGTATTTTCACATGCCGAATGCAAGTCAGTGTTATAGAGGTCTACAGCAAAGAAAAAGGCCCTTCGGCACACTTAGATCCGTATTGGTCAAAAATAACTACCTAACGATTCTAATCCCATTTTCAGCACTTTGCCCATAGCCTTGTATGCCTTGGCATTGCAAGTGCACATCTAAATACTTCTTGAATGTTATGAGGGTTTCTTTACCACAGGCAGTGATATTCCAGATTCCCACCATCCTCCAGTTGAAAAGGTTTTTTCCTCACATCAGTTCTAAATCTTCTGCCCCTTACCTTTTTAAATCTATTTCCTCAGTTATTGATCCTTCCATCACGGGGAAAAATTACTTCCTGTCTACCCTATGTATGCATAGTCATAATTTTATACATCCCAATCATGTACCCTCTCAATCTCCTCTGGTCTAAGGAAAACAACCTTAGTCTGTCCAACCTCTCTTCATAACTGAAACCCTCCAGGCCAGACAGCATCCTGGTAAATCTGCTCTGCACCTTGTTGTCTCGGATTCTCCAGCATCTGCAGTTCCTACTATCTCTGTCTTTCCCAGTGGCTGGACAGACCCAGCAAAGGTGCAGCACAGTCAGGATGAAGTTGCCATGGAATTCTTTGGCATTGACCCAACTCCATGAAGGCTTCAGGTTAAACAAGGAACCCTGCTGGTTACCATGTACTGTTCTCCCTGTGCTGATGAATCAGTGCTCCTCCAGGTTGAACAAAACTTGAAGGAAGTACTGAGGGTGGCAAGAGCACAAAATATACTCTGGGTGGGTGGGTGGGGGATATCAATGTCCACCACCAAGAGTGACTTGGCAGCACACTACTGATCAAGCTAGTCGTGACCTCAACGACATAGCTGCTCGGCTGGGTCTGCGACAGGTGTAAGGGAACCAACATAGTTGACCTCATCCTTACCAATTTGCCAGCTGCAGATGCATCGGTAAAAGTGACCATCACACTGTCCACGTGGAGACAAAGTCCAGCCTTAAATTTGAAAATAACCACCATCGTGTTGTGTGGCACTATCACTATGCTAAACAGGACAGACTTTGAACAAGGCTAGCAACTCGAGACTGTACTCCAGCTCAATCTTCAACCTCATGGCCCAGCATATCTCGCACTCAGCCATTACCGTCAAGCTAGGGGGATCAACACTGGTTCAATGGAGGGTGCAGAAGTGCATGCTGGGAGCAGCACCAGGCATACCAAGAAATGAAATGTCAACCTGATAAAGCTATGGAACAGGACTATATACATGCTACACAGCATAAGGAGCAAGTGATAGACCGAGTTAAGCGAGCCCACAATCAAAGAATCAGATCTACCTTCTGCAGTCCTGCAGCATCCATTTGTGAATGGTGGTGGACATTTTAAACAACTCATTGGAGGAGGCAGATCCAATGGAAGAGCTCATTGCAACAGTGCAAAAGACAAGGCTGAAGCATTCTCAGCAATCGTCAGCCAGAAGTGCCAAGTGGATGATCCAACCGGGCCAATTCACTTCACTCCGCATGACCACAAGAAACAATTGGAAGCACTGCATACTGCAAAGGCTATGGGCCTTGGCAACATTACAGGAATAGTACTGAAGACTGGTGGTCCAGAACTTCCTGTTTCCCCAGCCAAGCTCATCCAGTACACTTAGAACTGGCATAGAAATCGCAGAATCCCTACAGTGTGGAAACAGGCCATTCGGCCCAACAAGTCCACACCAACCCTCCAAAGAGCAACCCACCCAGACCCATTTCCCTAGCCTTGCCCTTTAACCATACATTTCCCATGGTTAACACACCTAACCTATGTATTCCTGAACACTATGGGCAATTTAGCATGGCCAATCTATCTAACCTGCACATCTTTGGACTGTGGGAGGAAACCGGAGCACCTGACGAAACCCTTACAGATACTGAAAACTCCAGACAGTTGCCCGAGGGCAGAATTGAACCCGGGTTCCTGGTGCGGTGAGGCAGCAGTGCTAACCACAGCCATGACAATGTGGAAAATTACCCAAGTATGTTCAGTACCTTTAAAGGTAAGCCAGTAATCACCCCATCAGTCTTCTCTAAGTTATTAGTAAAGTGATGGAAGGTATCATCAACAGGCCGCACCTGCTGAGTAATAACTTGCCGAGTGATGCCTGATTTGGACTCGGCCAGGACCACTCAGCCCCTGACCTCATTACAGCCTTGGTTCAAGAATGGATAAAAGAGCTGAATTCTAGAGGAGAGGTAAGAGTGACATAAAGACTTTATTCGACTGATTGTGGCATCGAGGAGCCTGAGCAGAATTGGAATCGATGGTTATTAGGGAGCAAACTCTCCACTAGTTGAAGTCATACCTGCCACATAGGAAAATGGTCATGGTTGTTGGAGGTCAGTCATTTCAGCTCCAAGTCATCTCTGCAGGATATTGTCCAAGGCCTAATAATCTTCAACTGCTTCATAAGTGACCTTCCATCCATGGTCAAAAGTGGGGATGTTCATTGATGATTGTACGACGTTCAGCACCATTCGTGGCTCCTCGGGTAATGAAGCAATTCATGTTCAAACGTAACAAGTTCTGGACAATATTCAGGCTTGTTCTGACAAGTGACTTTCGCACCACATGAAAGCCAAGCAATGTCTCTTATTGTAGATGGTCAATCTAACCACCATCCCTGGACATTCAATGGTGTTACCATCACAGAATCCCTCACTATCAACATCCTTGGGGTTACCATTGACCAGAAACTCAAGTGCACTTGACACGTAAACACGGTAGCTACAAGAGTAGGTCAGAGGCTAGGAATTTGAAATCAAGTAATTTCACTGCTGACTTCCCAAAGGGGACGCGCTCTACTATCTACAAGGCACCAGTCAGGAGTGTGATGTATTGCTCCCCATTTGCCTGAATGGGTCAAGCACCAACAACAGTAAAGAAACTTGACACCAACCAGGACAAAGCAGCCTATTTGATTGGCACCACATCCACTCCCTATACCATTGACACTCAGTAGTAGCAGTGTGTACTATCTACAAGATGCGCTGCAGAAATTCACCAAAGATCCTTAAGGGGCGGCACGGTGGCTCAGTGGTTAGCACTGCTGCCTCACAGTGCCAGGGACCTGGGTTCAATTCCATCCTCAGGCGACTGTCTGTGTGGAGTTTGCACATTCTCAGTGTCTGCGTGAGTTTCCTCCAGGTGCTCCGATTTCCTCCCACAGTCCAAAGACATGCAGGCTAGGTGGATTAGCCATGTGAGATTTCCCATAGTGTTGAGGGATGTGTAGATTAGGTGGGTTACAGGGGGATAGGTCTGGGGGGATGCTCTGTGGGTCGGTGTGGACTTGTTGGGCCAAAGGGCCTGCTTCCACACTGCAGAGATTCGATGATCCTCAGCTAGCACCTTCCAAACCCAAGATCACTTCCATCTAGAAGGACAAAGGCAGCAGATACATGGGAGCACCACCACCTGCAAGTTCCCCTCCATGCTGCTCCGTCCTGACTTGGAAATATATTGCCCTTCTATCACTGTCGCTAGGTCAGAATCCTGAAATTCCTGTCCTAATGGCTTTGTGGGTCAACTCACAGCAAGTGGACTGCAGCAGTTCAAGAAGAAAGCTCGCAACTACCTTCTCAAGGCAACTAGGGACAAGCAATAAATCCTAGCCAATTAGGTACACTTGCATCCCACAAATGAATAAAATGAAAAGTTCCAGCATAACTTCCCTGCTCTTAAATTCTCTGCTTTAGCTAATCAACCTTGGGTGTTCTTAACCATTTTATCCACTTATCTCTAATACCTTAAGGGACTGCTTTACATGAACATCAAGGTCCCTCAGCTTGTTGATGCTTCCTACATATCTGCTTCAACAATAGTGCATGGGTTCAGAATGTGCTATCAAAGGAGCCTTGGTGAGTTGCTGCAGTGCCTCTTAGTAGATGGTATACACTGCTGCCACTGTGCATTGGTGAAGGGATTCAATGTTGAAGGTAGTGAATGATTGCCAGTCAATTGGATTGCTTTGCCTGGAGTATTGTTGGAGCTTTGCTCACCCAGCCAGGAGACTATTCCCTCAAACTCTTGTCTTGTCATTGTAAACAGTGGACAATATTTGGGGAGTCAGGAGGTGAGTTGCTGCCACAGAATTCCAGCCTGTGACATCCTCTCCAGCTACGGTATTTAAATGGCTGGTCCAGTTCAGCTTCTGGTCAATGGTAACTCATTCAAATGTGATCGTGACATTTCAGTGATTGGAAATGCCATTGATTGTCAACATGTGCGCTTAGACACACTCCTATTGGAAATGGTCATTGCCTAGCATTTGTGTACCACAAATGTCACTTGTCACTTATCAACCTAATCACTTATCACCATCCAGATGTTGTTTATATCTTGCTGCATAGGGACAAAGACCGCTTCAGTATCTGAGGAGTCATTAATAGTACTGGACATATTGTAACAATCAGCAAACCTCTCCATTTCTGATTGTACGATGGAAGGTTATTGACGAAGCAACTCAAGATGGTTGATGTCGAGCAGTGATGTCCCATTATTCTTGAACCTCTTCCTTCCTGCTGGATATGACTGTGACTAGTGAGGAGTTTCTCCCTAATTCCCATTAAATATGGTTTTGCTAGAATTCTTTGTCATACCTGGTCAAAACTGTCTTGATGACAGCAACAGTCACTGTTACTTCAATTCTGGTGTTCCGTTCTTTTGTCCAAGTTTTGACTAGGCAATAATGAGATGAGGAGCTGAGTGACAGAACTGCAGAGCTTTGATATCTGATGTGTTAGTTGTGGGATCACTTAACTGTTTGTTGCATGCTGCTTCCACCATTCAAAATGTTTTGTTACTTCACCACATTGAAACCCCATTTTTAGGTACACCTAGTGAAGGTGTGCCCCGTGCCTCATGGATGTCCTGTTTTGAAGATGCCCTCCAGCAACTCAATATGAAGACAGGGCTTTATCTTCTTAATGACTGTGCAGCAGTCACTCATGTGAATACTGTTATGGACAGATGCATTTGTGATGGTGAATTGCTGAGAACGAGGTAAAGTAGTTTTTAACCCCTCACTGGTTTCCTCACCAACTCCAACAGAGCCATATTAGCAACTGTGTTCATTAGGATTATGCCAGTTCTGTCGCTGATGCTGCAACTGAGAGTCACTTCTGGTGATGGACTTTGACTTGGAAGTTTCCCCCAAGCGTACACAATGTGTCCTCCAACTTCAGATCGACATGGAGTACTGACTCATCAGCTTGGGTAGTTGGGCTGGGGAGGGAACAGACAGAGAGAGAGAGAGATGATACTAGGAGGTTTTCTGATCCATGTTTGACCTGATGCCATGAGATATCATTGGGTCCAGACCCAAGATGGAGGACTTGTAGGGTAACTCTTTCCCAAATGTATACCACTGTGCCACTACTTCTGGTGGGTTTGTCCTGCCAGTGGGATAGGTATATATTCAGAGATGGTATCTCTGCTATTTGGAAAATCATTATTGATAGAATCATACCTTATAGGCAATATCAGGATGTTGCTTGACTAGCTTGTGGGATGGCTCTGTTAATTTTGACAGTTCCCCAGATGGGAGTAAGATCTTTGCAGGGTTAGCAGTTGTTATTTGTGGTGCCTAGATCAATGCATGGTTTCTCATCCAGTTTAATTCCTTTTTTTTAGGCTTTGTGTTGGTTTGACACAACTGAGTGGCTTGCTAGATCATATCAGTGGGTAATGAGTCCTAGAGATGTAAAGCATGTAAACAGACCCTTTGGTCCAACTCGTCCGTGCCAACCAGATATTGTAAATTAATCTAGTACCCATTCGTCAGCATTTGGCCCATATCCCTCAACTCTTCCTAGTCATATACCCATCCAGATGCCTTTTCAATGTTGTAATTCTACCAGCCTCCTCCACGTTCTCTGGCAGTTAATTCCATACACGCACCACCCTCTGCATAGAAAAGTTGCCCATTAGGTCCCTTTTAAATCTTTCCCCTGTCACCTTTTAAACCTATGCCCTCTAGTTTTGGACTCCCCACCCCAGTGAAAAGACCTTGGCTGTTCACCATATCCATGCCTCATCCCTTAGGCTCCGATGCTCCAGGGAATATAGCCTCGACCTATTCAGTCCATCCCTAGAGATCAAACCTTCCAACTCAAGCAACATCCTTGTAAATCTTTTCTGAACCCTTTCAAGTTTAACAACATTTCTCCTACAGCAGGGAGACCAGAAATGAACTCCGTATTCCAAAAGTGGCCCAAGCAGTGTCTTGTACAGCCACAACTGACTTGCCAACTCCTACACTCCATGCACAGACCAATAAAAGCAAGCATACCAAATGCCACCTTCACTACCCTGTGTACCTGCAACTCCACTTTCAACAAACATGAACCTGCACTCCAAGGTCTCTTTGTTCGGCAACACTCCCCAGGACCTTACCATTAAGTGTATACGATCTGCCTTGATTTGTCCTACCAAAATGTAGCACCTCACATTTATCTAGATTAAACTTCATGTGCCACTCCTCGGCCCATCTGTTCAAAGTCCTGTTGTACTTTAAGCTAACCTTCTTCCCTGTCCACTACACCACCAATTGTGGTGTCATCTGCAAAATTACTAACTGTACCCCCTATATTCACGTCCAAATCATTTTAGACAAATGACAAAACAGTGGACCCAACACCAATCCCTGTGGCACACTGCTGGTCACAGGCTTCCAGTCTGAAATGCAACCCTCCACCACCACCCTCTGTCTCCTATCTTCGAGACAATTTATATTCAAATGGCTAGTTCTCCCTGTATTCCATACTATCTAACCTTGTTAACCATCCTTTCATGAGGAACCTTGTCGAATGCCTTGCTGAAGTCTGTATAGACAACGTCCACCACTCTTCCTTCATCAATCCTCTTTGTCACTTCTTCAGAAAAACTCAATCACGTTAGTGAGACACTATTTTTCACACACAAAGCCATGTTGACTATCTCTAATCAGTCCTTTCCTTTGCAAATACATGTAAATCCTGTCCTTCGGAATCCTCTCCAACAACTTGCCCAGCACCAATGAAAGGCTCACTGGTCTACAGTTCCCTGGCTTTTGCTTACCATCTTTCTTAAACAATGGCATCATGTCACCCAATCTCCTGCCTTCTGCCACCTCACCCATGGCTATTGATGATACAAATATCTCAGCAAGGGGCCTTGCAATCACTTCCCTATCTTTGCACAAAGTCCTAGGGTACATGTAGACAGTCAAAATCATTGCTCAGAGTCTGGAGTCACAGCTTCTTTCTTTAAAGGGTATTAGTGAGCCAACTTCTTCCCTTTTAAAGGATATCGGTGTACCTGACAATGAACAATGGTTTGGCTAGCTCTTTGCTCCAGATTTGTTAACTGAATTTAAATTCCACTTGCCACCATAATGAGAATTGAGTCCTTGTCACTGGGTCTTAACCCAGGTGTCTGGGTTACTAATGTAGTAACAGTACTGCCAGGCCACCATCTCCCTTTAGATATCTTTTGATTTTTGTTTTGGTGAGCTAACAGAAAAGCCTGATGAGGCTAATTTTATTCATGTGGTATGCATGGACTTCCAAGCAAAGTTGGTTACTATAACTGTCACCCTCTTTATCTGAAATGTTAAACCTGAAGGAACAAAGGGCAGCAAGTAAGTTTTTTTTCTTTAGAAGATGCATGGAGTATTTTGCATTTAAAGGGGTATTTGTGTGCACTTTATGCTCAATCAGTTCAGTTACTGACACTAAATGCTAAGCCATTTACAGTAAATTTCATTAAATTGTCCTATTGTTCTAATACAGTTGACTTCTGTCAAACCAACTCCCACACTTTTGGTGAATGGATGTTGTTCATCTTTTACAGATTATTGTTCAAGTAAGTTTGCAGCAATTGGTTTTGCGGAGTCTGTTGCACTAGAATTACTAGCATCCGGGAAAAACGGTATAAAGACTACTATCGTTTGCCCGTACTTCATAAACACGGGAATGTTCGATGGCTGTAAAACTAAGTATGTATACATGTTAATTCACTAAATTTGTTATGGTTTATATGCACATTTATTCATTCAAAAATGTAATGCAAAAATAGGTTATTTAAAAGCTATTATTTCAAATTGGGAACGTAGCAATTCACCTTTCAACTCTTTGAAACATCCATAGGTACTTCGGATGAGTGTTAGCAGACAAAATGTCACTGAAATACGTAAAGAGACATTAGGACAGGCAACCAAATGTTTGGCCACAGGTAGCTTTTAAGGAAGAAATTTTGAGAGAAATTACGCGTGGAGCTTTAGGGAGGGAGTTCTAGAATGTGTGCCCTCAGCAATTAAATGCAGAGTTATCAGTAGAGGAGTGAAGAAAATCAATGCACACAAGGTCAAAATTGGAGTAGTGTGTCCAGAGTTATGTAGAGCTAGAAGAGCTTTTGGCCTTTTGAGGGAATACCAAGAACATTAGCTGTGTTTATGAATGGATTTTAGGGTGCTAGAATGATTTATTGTCCTTGAGAAAGGCAGAAGAAGAGTGGACTTGAGGTTTTCAAGATTGTGAAGGCAGTCAACAAAATGCATTCTAATTTGTTCATTCTTATTTGCAATTGAAACTTTAAAAATGGAAATACATAGTTGTCAAATGAAAATTACAGACAGAAAAAAAATCAAATGATCCAACATACCTATTTCTCACACTCCTGATGCATTATGACTGCTCCCCCACCCCGAATCCCTCCTGCCTACACGAGAGACACCAAAGTAAACAAAAACTAGACCAATGATGGAAAAAGATTTGGAAAATTCTTTTTGACTTGGTATTCGAAACAGTCCAGAACATCATATTGACAGTGCATTTGTTTACCGTAAATCCACTTGCCTCTTTGGTTCCCCTACAGTGGCTCACAGTGCCAGGAATCGATTGGGTTCGATTCCAATCTTAGGTGACTGTTTGCATGGGTTTCCACCGGGTGTTCCAATTGCCTCTCACAGGCCAAAGATGAGCAGGCTGAATGGATTGGCCATGTTAAATTGCTTTGTAGTGCCTGGGGATGTGAAGGCTAGGTGGATTAGCAATGGTAAATGTGGGGTTAGGGGGATTGAGTGGGATGCTATTTGGAGGGTCAGCGCAGAATCAATGGGTCAAATTCCCTCTTTATGTTCCGTAAGGATTCTATGATTCCATTGTAAATCTCAGTCAAAAATCAGTCCAGCTCCCTCTTGTGGGCTTTTTTTAAATATATTAAAGTATAGTCATTGCTGGAATGTAGGCACTGAGCAAACTCCCATAAAAAGTTAGGTGCTTATTACCAAAAACATTTTTAAAATGTTGTTTGAGGTAACTTCCCTGCTCCTCTTCAAAATAGGTTTTTTTTGTCAGATCCATCTGCACAGGCAGATGGGACTTAAATTTAGCATTTAATTAAAAGACTGTCAATCCAGGGCATGTTAAATACTGTACTTGGGGGTCAGCCTCATTCTATTTTCTTGGTTTCAAGTCCTGGATTAGTACTCGAAGCCAGAACCTTGTGTTTCAGAGGTGAATGTGTTACCAACTAAGCCGTGGCTGACACAAGTCCAATGAAAGTGTTGAGAAACCTTCATTGTACTGAATGAGACTTTATGATCTGGTAGTATCACCGATTTTTATTACAGATATTGCAGACAGCAGACGATAGCTATTATGAATTTTTTTTTAAATGTAGCTGTTAGTTGGGAGGACCTGAAGAACAATGTTGGAGAAAATTTGTGTTAACAAGACCTTTTTTAAAGAGGCTGACCACGTTTCTTACTCTTCAATACCCACGTAATTTATTTTAATGGATGCATTGCAAGCAATCAAACTAAGGCTTTTACCTCAATTTATACTTAATTTCTGTACAGGTGGCCACACCTCCTTCCTACTTTGGATCAGAATTATGCTGCCAAAAAAATTACGGATGCCATTTTACGGGATCAAGTACTACTTGTGATGCCACGAAGTCTATACTTTATGCTTGCAATTAAGAAGTAAGTATAATTTATCTCTCTCTGTCTGTGTTGTGGTAGTTCTGAAATTTTATATTATCTTTTAAGCAGTCTTGTGTTTTGAATGTTATAAAACACACTTGTTTAATATAGATTTTTAACATGAACCTATATGTAGAAGAAAAATTCTGTATGACAAACAAGTAGTAGTGAAACATTATATTTTTTAAGCACTAGTTTGACCAATTGTAAGAAAAAGCATCACATTGTTACTAACATGATTCCCACATGTCAACATTGCAGGTAGAATCATAGAATCCCTACAGTGTGGAAACAGGCCCTTTGGCCCAACAAGTCCACACTGACCTTCAGAGCATCCCACCCAGACCCATCCCCCTGTAACCCATCTCATCTACACATCCCTGAACATGACTGGCAATTTAGCATGGCCAATCCATCTAGGCTGCACATCTTTGGACTGTGGGAGGAAACCAGAGCACCTGGAGGAAACCCACACAGACACGGGGAGAACGTGCAAACTCCACACAGACAGTTGCCCGAGGGTGGAATCGAACCTGGGTCCCTGGTGCTGTGAGACAGCAGTGCTAACCACTGAGTGACCATGCTGCCTAGGAATTCCCGTGCTTGTCTGCTTGGCCTGTCCCACGATCCTGGTGTTGTCGCAATAAAACTGGTGGTTCTCCTTATCCATGTGGATGGAGCTGAGTGAGTATTAGTCATGTCTTTTTGCTTCTAGTTGATTAGCATGGGAATTCCTAGAGGCCTGGTTCTCCACGCAGAAGGCCATCAAACATTAAAGTGATATCTTTAACCATATCACTAAACCACTGAACCATATCACTTCTGGTTTCTGTAAAACTTGATTAAATGATTGGGACACACATGGGATTAAGGCAGCAAGTACAATGTCATAAACATTTATAAATTTTAAAAAATGGAATCGTGGAGTATTTAATCACTCAAATGTAACTTGTAGTTTCTGGCTCAAAGACCATTTATCTCTATTCATTTGTGAGATGTGGATGATGCTAGCTGGCCAGCATTTCTTGCCCATCCCTAGTTGCCCTTGAAGGTGGTGGTGAGCTGCCTTCTTGAACTGCTGCAGTCCTCCTGCTGTGGGTTGACCCACAATGCTAGAAGGGAGGGAATTCCAGGAATTTGACCCAGCGATAGTGAAGGAATGGCGATTATATTTCCAAGTCAGGATGGTGAGTGACTTGGAGGGGAACTTGAAGGTGGTGATGTTCCCGTATGTCTGATGCCCTTTCCCTTCTAGATGGAAGTGGTTGTGGGTTTGGAAGGTGCTGTCTGAGGATCTTTGGTGAATTTCTGCAGTGCATCTTGTAGATAGTCCACACTGCTGCTACTGAGCATCGATGGTGCAGGGAGTGAATGCTTGTGGACGTAGTGTCAATCAAGCGGGCTGCTTTATCCTGGATGGTGTCAAGCTTCTCGAGTGTTGTTGGGGCTGTACTCATCTAGGCAAGTGGGGAGTATTCCATCACACTCCTGATTTGTGCCTTGTGGATGTCGCACAGGCTTTGGGGAGCCAGGAAATGAGTTACTCGCCACAATACCCGTAGCTTCTGGCCTGCTCTTGTAGCCACTGTGTTAATGTGGTGAGTCAAGTTGAGTTTCTGGTCAATGGTAACCCCCAGGATGTTGATAGTGGGGATTCAGTAATGGTAACACCATTGATTGTCAAGGGACTGTGGTTAGATTGTCTCTTATTGGTGATGGTCATTTCCTGGCATTTGTGTGGCATGAATGTCACTTGCCACTTGTCAGCCCAAGCCTGGATATTGTCCAAATCTTGTTGCATGTGAACATGGACTGCTTTAGTATCTGAGGAGTCACCAATGGTGCTGAACACTTGTGCAATCATTGGTGAACGTCCCCACTTCTGACCTTATGATGGAGGGAAGGCCATTGATGAAACAGCTGAAGATGTGGGCCTAGGACACTAGCCTAAGGAACTCTCGCAGAGATGTTCTGGAGCTGAGATGATTAACCACCAACAACCACGACCATCTTCCTATGTGTCAGGTATGAATCCAACAACCAGAGAGTTTGCCCCCTGATACCCATTGATTCCACGTTTGCTAGGGCTCCTTGATGCCACACAGCCAAATGCAGCCTTGATATCAAGGGCTGTCGCTCTCACCTCACCTCTGGAATTCAGCTATTTTGTCCATGCTTGAACCAAGGCTGTAATGAGATCAGGGCACTGAGTGGCCCTGTCGGAACCCAAACCGGGCGTCGCAGAGCAGGTGCTGCTTGATACGCTGTTGATGACACCTTCCATCACTTTACTGATGATAGGAGAGTAGACTGGGGTGGTAATTGGCTGCGTTGGATTTGTCCTGCTTTTTGTGTACAGGATATACTTGGGCAATTTTTCACGTTGTCGGGTGGATACCAGAGTTGTAACTGTACTGGAACAGCTTGGCTACAGGAGCGACAAGTTCTGGGGCATAGGTCTTCAGTACTATTGCCATAATGTTGTCAGGGCCTGTAGCCTTTGCAGTATCCAGTGTCTCTAACCGTTTCTTGATATCATGTGGAGTGAATCGAATTGGTTGAAGACTGGTATCTGTAATGCTGGGGACCACTGGAGGAGGCCGAGATGGATCATCCATTCTGGCTGAAGATTGCTGTGAATGCTTAGCCTTATCTTTTGCGCTAATGTGCTGGGCTCTTCCATCATTGAGGATGGGGATATTTGTGGAGCTGCCTCCTCCAGTGAGTTGTTTAATTGTCCACCACCATTCAGGACTTGATGTGGCAGGACTGCAGAGTTTAGATCTGATCCATTAGTTGTGGGATCACTTGCTGCTTATGCTGTTTGGTGTGCCAAGTAGTCCTGTTTGGTGGCTTCACCAGGTTGATACCTCATCTTCAGGTATGCCTGGTGCTGCTCCTGGCATGCCCTCCTGCACCTTCCATTGAAACCAGGTTGATCCCCTGGCTTGATGGTAATGGTTGAGGTGGGGGATATGTCGGGCCATGACGCTACAGATTGTGCTGGAGTGCAATTCTGCTGTTGATGGCTCACAGCGCCTCGTGGATGCTCAGTCTTGATTTGCAAGATCTGTGCAAAGTCTATCCCATTTAGCACAGTGATAGTGCCACACAACACAATGGAGGTTGTTCTCAATGTGAAGGCGGGACTTCTCCTCCACAAGGACTGTGCAATGATCACTGTTGCCAATACTGTCATGGACAGATGCTTCTGCAGCTGGCAGATTGGTAAGCATGAAGTCAAGTATGTTTTTTCCCTCTTGTTGGTTCCCTCACCACCTGGCACAGACCCAATCTAGCAGCTATATCCTTTAGGACCCGAGCAGCTGGATCAGTAGTACGCTGCCGAGCCACTCTCGGTGGTGCACATTGAAATCCCCCACCCAGAGTACATTTTGTGCCCTTACCATTCCAGCGCTGAGGAGTACTGATTCATCAGCTGAAGGAGGACAGTATGTGCTAATCAGCAGGAGGTTTCCTTGCCCATGTTTAACCTGAAGCCATGAGACTTCATGGGGTCCGGAGTCAATGTTGAGGACTCCTTATATCCCTCTGCCATCACCTCTGCTGGGTCTGCCCTGCCAGTGGGATAGGACATATCCGGGGATGGTGGTGTCTGGGACATTATCTGTAAGGTATGATTCTCTGAATATGACTGTCAGACTATTGCTTGACTAGTCTGTGAGATGCTCCCCCAATTTTTGGCAGTAACTCCCAGATGTTAGTGAGAAGGACTTTGCAGGGTCAACAGGGCTGTTTCTACCATTGTCTTTTTCGGTGCCTAGGTCAATGCCAGGTGATCTGTCAAGTTTTATCGGAGACTTTGTGGTAATTGGTACAACTGAGTCGCTTGCTAGGCCATTTCAGAGGGCAGTTGAGAGTCAACCACATTGCTGTGGGTCTGGAGTCACGTGTAGCCCAGACCAGGGGAGGGTGGTAGATTCCCTTCGCTGAAGGGCATTAGTGAACCAATGGGATTTTCCGACAACCATTTCATGGTGAGCAGTAGATTCTTAATTATTGAATTCAAATTCCACCATTTGCCATGGTGGAATTCGAACCGGGGTCCCCAGAACATCAGCTGGGTTTGTGGATTAATAGTCTAGCGATAATACCACTAGGCCATCGCCTCCCCTGGAGTAATTAGAAATTTAGTACTTCACTTAACCTAGTTAGATCTCAATCAAGTTTCCACCTTTTAAGGTTTTTTAAACAATGATTAAAAATGTAACAATACATGTTATCAGCAGCTCCAAAACTTTTCTAACTGCATTGTGGAGTGGACTTCTAAAACCTACCCATTGGAGAAGCACAGAATCACTGACAATAACAAGGGATTTCCTTATTTAACTGTACAAACGTGGACTCCAGTAAGCACTGTCAGTTTTGGATGAATAATGACACTAGAACTGACAATTTCACCATTGTTACTATTACAAAATCCGGGCTATTATGCAGCATTCCACAAAGCCCACCTGATTTGAAGACCCAGAGAGGGTGAATAGGACTAACCATTGTACCTTTAAGCATCCAATAGCTATATCCAATTTAAAAATTCCCACCACAAAAGAGAAGTGAAATAGTCCACTTTGTATTAATACTTGTACTCACCTCTCATTTTTGACCTCAATCACTGGTGAAGCGTGCTTATCCTAATCTGCATTTTAATGCTGTATCTAAGTGCTCTTGAGTAGGAGGAACAACTTAGATGTGCAGATTGTGTTTGATGTATGATGTTGTTAAGATAACGGTTGCTCAGCCAAGTGTGTAGAAGGCACAAGCCATGTCCAACAATTCTTGAGACACTTACTGTTACTAGTCACCCCAACTGGCTGACCAGTGATTTGAAATGGAACTGTCAGCATGATTATTTTCATCAGAATACTTAACTGATTATCCAGTCTGTCAAATAAACCAGAAACATTTGGGCGCCCAAAGTCTGACTGGTGTCAGTCGGCTATATTCCTTGAGGGCAAGTGTTCTACACCTGTTCCGTTTTGTATCTCTCTTCAGGTGACTGAAGTTTTATACTCTGCTTCTTTGAACTCCACAAGTAGAAGTTAATCTTTGTTCTTAGCCAACAGCTACAGGCTGTTCACAGTAGATTTAAAATATATGAAAACTTTCTTTTGTATCTACATTAGTTCCTGACTGAAGCCAAATTTAGTGGGATACCAATGTTTTACATAGCAGAATGGATATATCTATTCTTTATGAACCTGTATTCTCGTCTGCATGCAGCCCTCCTGCAACTTCCAGAAATATGCTTTTTTCAAACTCTTAGTTGCATTTGTGAGAAGGCAATATGTCGGGCACCAAAATTGTTATGAAGCTTGACTGAACACTCCCCTATAAAGGTGATTTTGGATGTTCACTGACACTTGGGCTCATTGCTACCAAAAAAAAAGGATAGATAATGATTCTTTGGCTTCGGGGCTGTCATGCCAGAACCTCCAGATTTGATAGTCTTCTCCCCACAGTCACCATTGCTGCCTCAGCAGGGGTGACTGTACACTAATTTGAATTCTGTGGGCAATTGAAGTTTGCACCCTAAAATTTGCAAATTTCTAGTGTTCCCACTTTTCTGAATGTCATCAAGAGATAATACCATTGTAAAACCTTTTTCAATGACAACCGCATTACGATGTTTCTGTTTATTCATCCCATTGAACTCATTTATTGCTGTTAATGTTATTACGTATAACAATATAGTGAAGCTTCCCCAATACTGCTGTTGCTGGCTAGTCAATAATTAATTGATATAATTTCTTTGGGATAACTCACATCAAGTCCCATTCACCTATCAGCCTAGTGCTAGCTAACCCCTATTTGGCTCACAATTCGAATGCACAGTTGAAAATTCTTATCCTTATTTTCGGAACTCCCTATGGCCTTATTCCTCCCTTATTTCTGTAACTTCTACTAGCCCTGCAACCCCAGCGCTCCTCCACATCTTGCCACTTGGACATCCCTGGTTTCAATCCATCCATTGTTGACAACTATGCATTCGGCTTCTTGGATTCTAAACTCTGAAATTCCCTCCCTAAACCCCTCTATCCATGACCTCTGTCTTTTAGAATGCTCTATAAAACTTGCCCTGCTCACCGTTGCTAGTATCTCCTTATTGAACCTTTCTAGGAAAAGTTCCTTGTTCAAAAACAAAGTTGCTGGTAAAGCTCAGCAGGTCTGGCAGTATCTGTGAAGGAGAAAACAGAGTTAACGTTTCGGGTCTGGTGACTCTTCCTCAGAACTGATGGTGGCTGGGAAAATATCAGTTTACGTGCAGAAAATAGGGAGGTGGGTGGGGCAGGGAGTAAACGATAGGATAGAGCCCAAAGAGAGAGAGACAGTTGGACAGACAGGAGTTGCTAACGATCAGGCTGGGAGGGTGAATAGTTGTTTATGGGGACTGTGGGTAACTAACAACAGGACATGCGTTATGGCAGGCTATGTGATAATAAGGCCTGGTGTGTGGGGTAGGGGGCTGGGACATGGGAGAGTTTAGGCCTAAAATTATTGAACTCCATATTGAGCCGGGAGGGCTGTAGGGTTGCCAAGTGGAAAATGAGGTGTTGTTCCTCCAGCTTGTGTTGGGCTTCGCTGGAACACCACAGCAAGCCAGAGACAGAGATGTTGGCCAGGAAGCAGGGTGGTACATTGAAGCGGCAGGCAACAGGTAGTTCAGGGTCTTTTTTGCAAGCAGATCGTAGATGTTCTGTGAAGCGGTCGCCAAGTCTACACTTCATTTCCCTAATGTAGAGGAGACCACATTGTAAGCAACGAATGCAGTAGACTAGATTCTGGAAAGTGCACATGAAGTGTTCGCTGGTTACAGGGGAAGGTGCCGTAGGGCTGTGGGGAGGTGTTGGGGGTGAAGGAAGTGTGGACCAGGTTGTCCCAGAGGGAACGGTCCCTGCGGAAGGTGGACAAAGGAGGGGAGGGGAATATGTGACTGGTGGTGGCATCTCGCTGGAGGTGGTGGAAATGGCGTCTGATCTTCTGGATGTGGATGCTGATGGGATGGTAGGTGAGGATAAGGGGAACCCTATCTCTGTTGCAGGAGGGAAGAGAAGGGGTGAGGGCCCTGTCGACAACCGAGCTGGGGAATCCTCGGTTGAGGAAGAACGTGGACATTTCGGAGACTCCCTTGTCGAAGTTGGCCTCATCTGAACATATGCGACAGAGACGGAGAAACTGAGAGAATGGGATTGAGTCTTTACGGGAAGTGGGGATGGCGCTTTTACAGGAAGGCAATCTAAGTTGAGGCCGAGCTTAGATCATGTTAAGGGCAATAAATGCTGGCCCAGCCATCAATACCCACGTCCCATGGATGACTTATTTTAAAAGAGCCCCGATTGCCCTGAATGGCAAATAAGGTTCAAGGGAGTTTCCTCCTGCTCCTACATCCTGCTCTTATTGAGGTTATCTGCAGGTCTGAGGCAAAGAGGGTAGTTTCAAGGGAGTGCCGATGCTGCTATTCAAAGACAGTGGTACATTTACAGAAAGGAATAATTTAGCTAGGAAGGCACATTGTGTAGTCAGATTCACAAAAGTACAGTCATGGAAGCAGGAAGAGGGTCTAATGCTGGGACAAGATTGTATAGAACCCACTTGAAGACATTTATCTAAACATACTAAAAGACCATATAATTTTTCCAAAAAAAAACAAAGCTCCTGTTTTAAAAGTACAGTTTAAGAGTTGACTTTGGAGTAAATAAACATATTTCTGTACAAAGTCAGTTGTAAAAACTGACCTTAGGTTCATGCATAATTGCCAAGAATCAACAACCAGTGTTTGACTGCAGTTAAGAATAAAAAAAGTTTAATCATGTTGCACTATCTCACAAACAAGTGGACATAGTTGACAAACTACTGAAACTTTATGATTGTTAGAGACAAATATTGACAAGTTTTCACAGATTCCATAAATTACTAGTCAGCCTGTCTTCCATAGAAATGTTAATCAAGATAACTGAAGATCGTTTAAAAACCGAAAGAACTGCAGATGCTGTAAATCAGGAACAAAACCAAGTTGCTGAAAAAGCAGGTCTGGCAGTATCTGTGAAGAAAAGTTAGAGTTGACATTTCGGGTCCTGTTCTGAGGAAGGGTCACTGGACCCGCAACGTTAACTCTGATTTTTCTCAACTGAAGATCATTGTTTACTTTGAGGAGTGAAGTGGAACTTATCCAGTTCAATGGGCAGGCAAGTTGCAGTAATTCAGCTGAAGGGCAGCACCTCAAGTACAACGTTTCTTTAATACTGCATCTAAGTGTTAACCTAGGTTATGACATTGGGTATTTGAGATCTCTTAGAGACCTTAGTTTGCAGCAGTTTTTACAATCCAGAGATAGATTGACATTTATGTTATCTAAAATCTTTCTTAAGAGTGAGGTCTCTACCCTGAGCTGGTAGTGAAGTTAGGGCCTAAAGACATTTGGTTCTATATTTAGCAGATTAAAATCAAGATTAAAGACTGGCTCCATTGAAACAAGACAGTTTTAGCACAAATCAATCTTAGTTAATCATTTTATGTACTGCTTTAATTCTTGCTTTGGTAAAATGTGTGACAAGCTAATCATGGACTCTTTCTTAACTTTCTTTTCTTTATTAAATGCTGCTATAAGAAAATGATATCATCATCATCAATCTTTTTTTTTTCTCTGAAATAGTTTGCTTCCTGTGAAACTTGGAATTCTACTTGGACACTACTTTGGTGTTTTCGACGTTATGGATAACTTCAAAGGTCGAGTTAAAAAGGATTGACTTGATCTGCAGGATCAATAAAGTGAAAGTTGTGGAAGTAATTGCATTATAATATACATTAATTGGTGCAAATTTGTGATCAAGGTATCAGTATCAGGTTGCAATATTATTTACATTCCATATTTACCTTCTAGTGATAATTTCAAGCTTGTGAAAAATGTAATAGAAACATAGGAAATAGGTGCAAGAGTAGGCCATTCGACCCTTTGAGCCTGCACCAACATTCATTATGATCATGGCTGATAATGTAATTTAAGTATCCCACTCCCACTTTCTCTTCGTATCCCTTGATCCCCGGCCGCAAGGGCCACATCTACCTTCCTCTTGAATATATATATAGCAAATTGGCCCCAACAGCTTTCTGTGGTAGATAATTCCACAGATTTGCAACTGAGTGAAGAAGTTTATCATCATCTTAGTCCTGAATGGTTTACCCCTCGTCCTGGACTTCCCAACATTGAGAACATTCTACCCACCTCTAGCCTGTCCAGTCCCATGAGGATTTTGTGTTTCTAATGAGATCCCCCCCCTCCCCGCCTGGCATTCTTCTTAATTCCAGTGAGTACAAGCCCAGCCGATCCAGTCTCTCATGTCAGTCCTGTTATCTCAGAAATCAGTCTGGTGAATGTTGACTGAACTCCCTCAATAGTAAGAACGTCCTTCCTCAGACTAGGAGGCCAAAATTGCACACAATACTCAAGTTATGACCTAGTATAACTGCAGCATGGCATTAGCTTTCCTCACCGCCAGTTGCACCTGCATGCCAACCATGACATACAGGTCTCGTTGCAACTCACCTTTTCCAAAACTGCCACCACTCACGGAATAATTTTGCCTTCCTGTGTTTGTCACCGCAGTGGATAACCCCTCACTTATCCATATTATATTACATTTACCAAGCATTGCCCGTTCAGCCAGTCTGCCCAAGTCACCCCGCAGCCTCTCAGCATCCTCCTCACAGCACACACTGCACCCAACTTAGTATTATCTGCAAATCCAGTGATATTATATTCAATTCCTTCGTCCAAATTGTTAATGTGTATTGTGAACAGCTGGGGTCCCAGCACTGAACCCTACGGTATCCCACTTGTCAGGGCTTACCACCCCGAAAAGGACCCATTTATTCCAACTCTCTGCTTTCTGTCAGCCAACCAGTTCACTGTCCACATCAACAAATTAACTCCGACACCATGAGCTTCAATCTCTTACGTGGGACCTTGTCAAAAGCCTTTTGAAAGTCCAGATACACATCATCTACTGATTCACCCTTGTCTACTCTACAGGTAACATTCTCAAAATATTCCAGAAGAATTGTCAAGCACAATTTTCCTTTATTGAATCTATGCTGACTCGCACAATTGTGTCACTGCTTTCCAAATGCTCAGTTATTACATCCTTAATAATTGACTCCAACATTTTCCCCACTGCCGGTTTCAGGCTAATCAGCCTATAATTTCCTGTTTTCTCTCTCCCTTTCTTTAAAAAAGTGGGGTTGCATTAGCGACTGTCCAGTCCATTGGAACTCTTCCAGAGCCTATAGAATGCTGGAAAATGATCATCAATGCATCCAGTAATTCCAGGGCCACTTTCATACTACTCAGCGATGCAGAGCATCAGGCCAGGGTTCTCATCGGATTTTAATCCCATCAATTTCCCCAATACTATTTCCTAACTAATAAGGATTTCCTTCAGTTCCTCCCTGATGCTTGACCCTCAGCCCCTTAGCATTTCCGGAAGGTTATTTGTGTCCTCCTCAATGAAGGCTAGTCCGACTGGTCTGCCATCTCTTTGTTGTGCATTATGATTTCACCTGATTCTAACAGTAAGGGACCTACATTTGTCTCCAGCCTTTTTCTCTTCACATATCTATTAGAAGCTTTTGCAGTCAGTTTTTGTTTTCTGCAAGATTACTCGTGTATTCTATTTTCCCCTTCCAAATTAAACCCTTTGTCCTCATCTGGTGAATTTCAAATTTCTCCCAGTCCTTGGGTTTGCTGCTTTGTCTGGCCAATTTATATGCCTCCTCTTTGATTTTAACACTAGCCCTGATTTCCCTTGTTATCCATGGTTGAGCCACCTTCCCTGTTTACTTGCACCAGATAGGGGTGTACAATTGTTGAACTTCATCCATGTGTTGTTTAAATGTCTGCCATTGCCTGTCCACAATCAACCCCCTTAAGAATCCTTGACCAGCTTAACCTAGCCAAGGCATGCCTCATACCATCAAAGTTAGCTTTCTTTAAGTTCAGGACCCAAGTCTCCGATTTAACTGTGTCACTCTCCATCTTAATGGAGAATTCAACCTTATTATATAGTAACTCTTCCCCAAAGGATCTTGCACCACAAGGTCGCTAATTAATCCTCTCTCAATACTCAATACCCAGTCTAGGATGACCTGCTCTCTAGTTGGTTTCTTGACATATTAGTCAAGGGAACCATCTTATGTACATTCCAGGAAATCCTCCTTCATAGCATTGCTGCCAGTTTGGTTAGTCAAATCAATATGCAGATTGAAGTCACCCACAATAACTGCTGCACCTTTACTGTATGCATCTCTAATTTCCAGTTTGATACCACCCCCAACCTCTCAACCACTGTTTAATTGTCTGTACATAACTCCCACTAAATTTTTTTTTCCCATTTGTTGTTCTGCAGTTCCACCCATACAGATTCCACATCATTCAGGCTAGTATCCTTCCCTTATTATTGTGTTATTCTTTTCCTTAACCAGCAAGGCTACCCTACCTCCCTTTCCTTTTCTGTCTATCCTTCCTGAAAATTGAATACCCCGGATGCTGAGTTCCTGTCCTTAGTCACCATGGAGCCACGTTTCCATGATCCCCATTACATCATATGCATATAGGCAACAACAATATAGGTAACAAAACAGGATGATGTCCTACAAGCTGAATTTAAGGAATTAGGAGTTAAACTAAAAAGTAGGACCTCAAAGGCAGTAATTTTGGGGTTGCTACCAGTGCCATATGCTAGTCAGAGTAGGAATGGCAGGTTAGCTAAGATGAATACATGGGATAGTGCAAGAGGGAGGAATTTAAACTCTTGGGACATTGGAACTGGATCTGGAAGAGCTAGAACCAATACAAACCAGATGGTCTGCAGGACTGGAACCAGTGTCGTGGGGGGAGTGTTTGCTAGTGCTGTTGTGCAGGATTTAAACTAATACAGCAGGGGGATGGGAACTAATGCATCATATCCATTAATAACTGTGCAGTTAATTCATACACTTTATTACAAACGTTGCTCGCATTGAGACATCGAGCCTTCAGGTTCATTTTTTTGATACTTATTGCCCTTTTAGAATCATGATGTGGTGTGGCCCTTTTTGTTTATCTTTGGTTTCTCTGCCTTCCGCTTTCACTTTTTCCCCTTAACTGCCTTTTGTTTCTGTCCCCACTTTACTTCCTTCCAACTTCCTGCACTGGTTCCCATTGTTACGGAGGGGAATGGCCAAACCCTCTAATAGTTAAAACCAAAATGCAAGCCCCAATCTATTATGACGGGAGTAGAGGTTCCAATCTAATAATTACCCCTGAAACACCCAGAGAAGCTCGCCTTTCCCGTCATAATCTGTTAAGAGTGGTTAAAAGAAAGAAAATCCTTGATCTCCACCTTACAAATAACAAGCAGCAATTTATTTGTTTAACCCTAACAATGAACAAATTAACAGAATTACTAACAAACTGAATAATCCCTCAGACTACTAACTACTCTTCCTAACTGGTCTAAATTCTACTGGAACACTGTTCAAATAAACGCAAGTCCCTCTTATATGAACCCAATTAATAAGACAACAATAAATTAAAACTTAAATCTCTCCAAGTTAGCACAGTCTACGGCTTCTTCCCTTTATCTCTAATCTTCCTTCTGTTGCTCTCATCACAAATGCCTTTCTTCTGATGATTCTGCTATCTTGGATGTCTTTCTCTTTAATTTCTTCAGTGAGGACTTTTAGCTAAAATGCTGTGGTATCTTTGGGTCTTTTCAGAGATCTCAATAATTTTGAGAGAGCCAGGCTTGCATCTCCGATGGCAGTTGGCTGTCCCTGATTTTCCAAATGCCTTCATCTTTATACTGGTGACAACATAACAATATTTCTTATGTAGGATTGGTTTCAGGTTATCGACACAATCAGTTTTTAAATTCAGTTGGTTTTTAATATCTAAGGGCTTGGTTTAAACTGATTGTCTAAATTTGAAAAGACTTGTTGTCTTGGTAAAAATGCTGCATTGGCTATTCGATACAAAAATGTTTAATTCGGGCACTGTCTCTGCACAGTACTTGTGAACTTCTAAGCACAGACAAACACAATCTCTTAAAGGGATCAGGCGCACTCTTTCCCCACTATCATTTTTTACCAACCATTCTAACTTCCTGCCTTCCAATTCATGAATATTCCACCCAACTTCATAACACAATCCTCTTGCCATATTCATTTAAACCCTCCCCAACAGCACCAGCAAACACTTCTCCCCAGGGTATTGGTTCCAGTCCTGCAGGGAAATAAATTTTTATGTCTGGTTTGTACTGGCCCCACCTCCCCCAGAACCGGTTCCAATGTCCCAGGAATTTGAATCCCTCCCTCTTGCACCATCCCATGTATCTATCTTAGCTATCCTGCCATTCCTACTCTGACTAGCACATAGTGCTGGTAGCAATCCCAAGATTACTGCCTTTGAGGTTCTACTTTTTAGTTTAACTAACTAATTCCTTAAATTCCAATTATAGGACCTCATCCTATTCTTTTACCTATATTGTTGGTGCCTACATGCATCACAACAGCTGGCTGTTCACTCTCCCCTTCTAGAACATACTGCAGCACTCTGAAACATCCTTGACCCTTGCAGGGAAGCATCATACCATCCTGGACACTCATTTGCAGCCCCAGAAATGCCTATATATTCCCCTTACAATTGAATCCCCTATCATTATAGCTCTGCCACTTTTTTTTTCCCTCCCCTCCTGTGCAGCAGAGCCAGCCACTGCCATGAACCTGGCTGTTGCCACCTCCCCTGGTGGGCCG